AACGCTGGAGTGCGACCCGTGAACAACTGACAGCAAAATCCTCCGGACCGAAACCCTGCGCAGGATGCCTCTCTCCATTTTCAAGCCAGGGTAATAGCTGGTTTTGGTGCTGCTGTACCTGCCACCCCACCAGGCCAGCTAGTGGTGGGCAGCCCAGTTGGGCATCTCTGCTGCCTCCCTCCTTTTTGCATGGGGAAGAGCCAAGCAACTGGCCCTGGGGAGGGAGGCTGCAGTTCAGAAAGGGAGAGTGCCTAAACAGCATTTAATTTTAATTAATAAAAAGGGGGCATTTAATTTTAATTAATTAAAAGGGGGCATTTAATTCTTGCCTTCCTCCTGGCTGCATCCTGGAGGATGTCTGACCCCAGAGATGCTCCTCCGTGGGGAGAGCTGGGGAGGTCACCCGTGGGTTCCTGGAGGGGCCTAGGGGGATCTCCTTCCTGATGTCTTTTTCCAAGTAAAAGCCATTCAAAGGAAAAGAGAGAGAGAGACAGAGAGAGAAAGAAGAAAGAAGAAAGAAGAAAGAAGAAAGAAGAAAGAAGAAAGAAGAAAGAAGAAAGAAGAAAGAAGAAAGAAGAAAGAAGAAAGAAGAAAGAAGAAAGAAGAAAGAAGAAAGAAGAAAGAAGAAAGAAGAAAGAAGAAAGAAGAAAGAAGAAAGAAGAAAGAAGAAAGAAGAAAGAAGAAAGAAGAAAGAAGAAAGAAGAAAAAGAAAAAAGAAAAGAAAAGGAAAGAAAAGAAAAGAAAAGGAAAGGAAAGGAAAGGAAAGGAAAGGAAAGAAAAGAAAAGAAAAGAAAAGAAAAGAAAAGAAAAGAAAAGAAAAGAAAAGAAAAGAAAAGAAAAGAAAAGAAAAGAAAAGAAAAGAAAAGAAAAGAAAAGAAAAGAAAAAAAGAAAAGAAAAGAAAAGAAAAGAAAAAAGAAAAGGCACTAACTAATTCACTGAATGTTTTGGGATATGATTTGGAGAGGTAAGAGCTGACAAACTCCTCCCTGAGCTTGCTTGGCCCCCAGACAGTGCAGCCAGGGAAGGGGAAAGGCCATCCATGGCTGTCGGAGTCAGGACCAGGCTTCAGAGCTGCTCGCTCTGTAAAGCCGTACGCCTGCTCCCATGCTGCTCTTTCATCCTGCCTTGCCTGGGTGGCACTGGAGGATGGTTTGTTCTCCTGCCACTCATCCAACAGAGACATTTTTTCACACCAAAACTTCATCAGCCATTTTCTTACTGTTTTGCTGATAATTGCTGGTTTTGCTAATAATGTTCTACTTAATCTCTCACCACCATTCTTTCTTTAAGCAGGAAAGAAGTGTAACTCATGAAGATTGCTGACAACCTACAGAAATCCAGTGATCAGTTTAAGGGCAGTAACAGCCCAGAGTGACGCTTTACATGCCAGTCCCAAGGGCGCCTGCCTGCATTAATCACGTTGAGCGAAGCTGCTAACGCTGCAAAGGCCGCTGCGCTCCTCTGCCTGCCGAGCAAGACAGTGGGCTCAGAGAGGGGGAGGAATTTCCACAGCCATTTCTTGAAACTCAGTTAGGTCTGGCCAGGGAAGGAGGCATTAGTCAGTGTGAGAGGAGAGGCCATAAGAGCAGGTGGGTGGGAAGGAAGAGTGGCCGAGCCGTGTCACAGCAGAGGCTGAGCTGGTCAGCCATGCGAGATGCAAGAAGCAGGTCTGCCTGGGACCACTGGCTCTGTGCTCCTACTGCCTGACCCTTGAGCGAGGGAAAAGCTCTTCCCAAATCCTTAGACTTTGCCTGCTTGCTTTTTTTTTGTTTGTTTGTTTGTTTTAAAAAGAATGCTCACAAAGTATTGAAACTGCCTGAAGCAACCAAAGTGCCTTTTGATCCAGCTATGAGTGCTTAGATGTAGAAAAGAGGCACGTGTATAGCTTTTAAGGGTACACACATCCACCCACCTGTTGGGAACAGTTAAAAAATACAACTAGGTTGGCTGCAGTCTGAAGCCAGAGCTACGAACAGAATAGCAAGCCAAGTAATTTGTACAAGGAATGTCTAAAGGAGCGGCTAATGGAGAAGCGGCTGACATGCATGTTCTGGCTCTTAGTGCTTGTTCTGAGGAAACGGCCTGACACCCTCAGCACAGCAGAGCTGCTTAACTACCCTCACCGACAAGACATGAAAGAGAAAAATTAGTTATAATTGCAATATTACTACAGTAATGTTTGCCTCCTAATTGCCTTTCAGTGAAAAAAAAACAACCATGCAGTGAGGAATTTTTGTTATAAGCGTTACTTACATGTAAAATGAATCCACTAACTGCCTCCCCTGTAGAAAACTGAATGTTAAATATCATGGCCTGGACAGTCCTGTCATACCTACAAGTGTCATATCAAATGAGATAGCACCACTGACATCAGATACATACATGAAAACTATTTCAGCATATAAAATGTAGAAACATCAATGCCACTAAGGAGTCCATAAATACTGCATTGGTATTATCAGCCCTCTGAGCTGTAACATCCGGAGTAGGGCAGGGGGAGGGAGGGGGTGAGACACAGAGCTGAACAGGAAGGATTCTTGCTCAGGAAAGTCTGTAGCTGGAGGGGGGGGGGGGGGGGGTTCTC